CGGCGCGAGGGGCCAGGGGCGCCCGGTGCCCGTGAGCAGAATGGCGCGGGCTGCGACCATGGGAGGTACTGGGGGAACTGGGACGGACTGGGAGCCACTGGGAGGGGATTGGGGGGACTGGGAACAGGAAATGCGGGAACTGGGAGCCACTGGGAATGGGAAATGGAGGGACTGGGATGGACTGGGAATGGGGGAACTGGGAGGGACTGGGATGGACTGGGAATGGGAAATGGGGGAACTGGGAGGGTCTGGAGGGACTGGGATGGATGGGAGGGACTGTGGGTTAGGGTTAGGTTACTGTGGGGGGCACTGGAATTCCCAGTTTGGGGTCCCAGTTTAGGGGTCCCATTTGGGGTTCCCCAGGTGTGGCTCTGCAATTGGGGCTGGGGGCTTTGGCCAAGGCCACCCGGACACGGCTGCGTGGGCAGGAGCGGCCGCGGGGTGAGTGGGACTCCCGAGACCCCCGTCCCAAGGGGGGAACCCCCAAATCCACCCAACCTCCCCCACATCTCCCTGAAATCCCCCCAACACCCCCCAGACTTATTTGGGGGTCTCCAAACCCCATTTTTTGGGGTCTTGCCCCCCCATTTTCCTCCCCCAGACCCATTTCTGGGGTCTCATTTCCCCCAAAACCCATTCTGGGGTCTCCTCCCCTTTTTTGGGGTCCCCAGCCCCCATTTCGGGGTCCCCATCCCAAATGTTGGGTCCCCTTCTCCAATTTTTGGGCTCTCCATCCCCAATTTTGGCCCCAGCTCTGGACCCCATTCCCATTTTGGGTCCCCCTCCCCAATTTCGGGTTCCCCTCAATTTTTGGGTTCCCTTCCCCAATTCCATGTCCCCCTCCCCAATTTCCCCGCAGCCCCGAGCCCCCTGCTGTCGGAAGCCTCCGCTGAGCGTTTGGTGGCCGCACTGAGCCGGGCCCGGGGGGCAGCGCTCAAGCTGGGACAGCTGCTCAGCATGGCAGGTGTGAAGAACCCCCAAAAACACCCCCAAAACACCCTGGAAAACCCCAAAAACTCCAAAACAACAGCCCCAAAACCACCCTTAAAAACCCCCAAATCCCATAAAGTTCCCCTAACAATCCCATAAATTCCCGCTAAATTTCTCCCAAGTTCCCCTAAAATCCTAAATTTTCCCAAAAGCCCTTTCTAAATCCCATAAAATTCTCCTAAAATCCCCCCTAAATCCCAGAAACCCCCAGAAAATCCCATAAATCCCCCAAATCCCCCAATCCCGACCCCTCCCCGCAGACCCGGCCCTGCTGACCCCGCAGCTCCAGCGGATCCTGGAGCGGCTCCGGCACCACGCGGAGCCAATGCCCGGCTGGCAGAGCTTCGTGAGCCTCCACGACGGCATTTGGGGGATTTGTGGGATTTTAGGGGAATTCTGAGGGGTCTGGGAGAAGTTTTGGGGATTTTGTGGGATTTGGGTGGGGATTTGTGGGGGATTTTTGTGGGATTTTGTGAGGATTTGGGGGGGATTTTTGGGGGATTTTTTTGGGGATTTTTTTAGGATTTTTTTGGAATTTGGGATCCTTGTCCCCACAGGAGGTTCTGGATGCGGAGCTGGGCCCGGAGCAGCTCTGGGAATTCCCGGGATTTTGGGGAATTTTGTGGGATTTTTGTGGGGTTTTGTGCTATTTTATGATATTTTTGGCTAGATTTTTTTTTTAAATTTGGGAATTTTTGGGGAGTTTTGGGATCCCCGGCTGTCCTGGACCCGCAGCTGGGCCGGGCTTGGCGGAAACACCTCCAGGAATTCCCAAAATTCCCGGGATCCCAGGGGAATTTTGCGGTTTTTTATGCTGTTTTACAGTATTTTTGTCTGGATTTTGATGAAATTTTGGGATTTTTTGGGGATTTTTGGATCCCAGGCAGTCCTGGATGAGGAGCTGGGTCCGGGCTGGCGGGATCAGCTCCAGGAATTCCAGGAATTCCCTGTGGCCGCTGCCTCCCTGGGCCAGGTGCACCGGGCACGGCTCCGGAGCGGCGCCGACGTCGCCATCAAAATCCAGGTGGAGAAAACCTGGGAATTCTGGGAGAATTCTGGGGGGATTTGGCGGTCCCGGGGTGGGAATTTGGGGGATTCAGGCTGGGATTTGGGAATTCCAGGAATTTGGGGTGGGATTTGGGGGACCTGGGGTGGGAGTTTGGGGAGTTCGAGAAGGAATTTGGGCCGGGATTTGGAGCTCAGGGGTGGAAATTTGGGAACTGGGGATGGAAGCTTGGGAATTTGGGCTGGAAATGTGGATACCTGGGATGGAATCTGGGATTCAGGATCGAAATTTGGGATCCTGGGGTGGGAATTAGGGAATTTGCGCCGGGATTTGGCATTCGGGGCCAAGTTTGGGCTGGAATTTGGGGATTTGGGCTCCCCACAGTACCCGGGCGTCGCCCTCAGCATCGGCAGCGACATCGAGAATCTCCTGACGCTACTGAGCCTCAGCCCTGGCCTGCCCAAAGGTCTCACAGTGCCCCAAGATCCCCCCAAATCACCCCAAATATCCCCAAAATCACCCCAGACTCATCCCAAATCAGCCCATTCCCCATTCCCGTTTTCCCCCATCCCCGTTTTCCCCCATTCCTTTTTTTCCCCACTTCCCATTCCTGTTATCCCAAATTCCCATGTTTTCCCCCCGACATTCCCATTTTTTCCATTTTTCCCCATATTTCCGTTTTTCCCCAATTCCCCCCCCCGCATTCCCATTTTTTCCTCAACATTCCCGTTGTTGTTCCCAGGGCTGTTTCCCGCTCACTCCCTGCGGACTCTGCAGCGGGAGCTGGAGCTGGAATGCGACTACGAGCGCGAGGCCGCCAGCGCCGCCCGCTTCCGGTAGGAATCCCATGAATTCTGATGGGAATTCCGGCAATCCCAACAGGAATTCTGGCAATTCTGGTGGGAATTCTGGGAATCCCAGCAGGAATTCCATCAATCCCAACAGGAATTCCGAGAATTCTGGGAATTCCAGCAGTCCCGGTGCGAATTCCATGAATCCCAGCGGGAATCCCAGCAATCCGCCAATTCCTTTGGGGATTTTGGGTGGGGGGGGGTTACGGGATTTTGAGGCTTTTGGGGTGGATTTTTTGGGAATTCAGGATTTTTCGGATCTTTCCGGATCCGCGCTGGGGTCGGATCCGTTTCTCTGGGTAGGATTTTGGGGGGATTTGGGGGTTTTGGGGCGTTTCCGGGTGGATGATTTTTTGGGAATGCGGGAATTGCGGGCTGTTCCCAGATCCCTGCTGGGCTCGGATCCGTTTTTCCGGGTGCCGGCCGTGGTGGCCCCGCTGAGCTCGCGCCGAGTGCTCTGCACCGAGTGGGGAAGGGGAGAGGCCCTGGAGCGCGGGCAGAGCCTCCCCCAGGAACGGCGGGACCAGGTGGGGAAAATTCCGGAATTGGGGAATGGGGGATTGAGGGCATTGGGGGAAATCGGGCATTGGGAATTGGGGAATGAGGGTTTGGGGATTTGGGGATTGGGAATTTGGGAATTCAGGATTGGGAATGAGGGAATTGGGAGTTTTGAGAATTTTTTTGTGGCAGTTGGACCCCAGAATTTGGGGCTTTTTTGGGGGCAGGACCTCCAAATTTGGGAGGTTTGGGGGGAATTTTTGGGGGATTTGGGGATTTTTTTGGGGGGTGGGACCCCAAAATTTGGGGGGAAGTTGGGGGAATTTTGGGGATTTAGGGAGTTTTGGGGTTGGGACCCTGGAATTTGGGGGAGTTCTGGGAGGATTTTGGGGTTTTTTTGGGGTGGAACCCCAAATTTGGGAGGTTTTTGAGGGTTGGGACCCCAAAGTTGGGGGATTTGGGGTTTTTTTTGGAGGTGGAACCCTGGAATTTGAGGGACTCCCAGTTTTTAGGGATTGGGATAATTTTTGGGAGCGGGGTCTGGGTTTCGAGGGATTTGAAGGGATTCTGGGAGGATTTGGGATGATTCTGGAGTAATTTTTTTAATTTTTTTGAATTTTGGGAGGATTTGGGATAATTTTGGGGTGTTTTTTAATTTTTGGGGGAGTTTTGGGGAGATTTTGGGGGTGTTTCCCAGCCTTTTTCCCACATTTCAGGGCGCTTTTAAAGCGATTTTTAACCATTTTCTCCCCGCTTTTCGGGATTTTCTTGTGACTTTCTCGGGATTTCTGGGATTTTGGGAGATTTGGGGGCTCCCGGATTTAACCCTTCGTGTCCCAGATCTGCTCCCAGCTGCTCCGGCTCTGCCTCCTGGAGCTTTTCCAGTTCCGTTTCATGCAGACCGACCCCAACTGGGCCAATTTCCTCTATGACTCCCAGAGCCACACGGTAAGGCCAGAATTCCCAAAATTCCCGGCGCCTTCCGGGAGCACTCAGGGCTGTTTGGGGGGATTTCAGGGGAACTAAAAGGAATTTGGGGGAGTTTTGTTGGGATTTTCAGGAATTTCAGGGGATTTTGTTGGGATTCTCGGGGGATTTTGAGATGATTGGGTGGGACTTGGGGGATTTTCCGGTTTTGGGGAGGATTTCTGGGATTTTTAAGGGATTTCTTTGGGATTTGGGGAATTTTGGGGGGAATTTGGGATGGACTTGAGGGATTTTTATGAGATTTTGGGGGATTTGAGGGGCTGTTTTGGAGGAATTTGGGGGGATTTGGGGATTTTTGTCAGATTCGAGGTGTTCTGGGGAATTTTGTAGGATTTTTGTGGGATTTGGGGTTAGGAGGAATTTTTGGGGGCTGTGGAAAAGATTTGGGGGGATTTTAGGGTGATTTGAGGGAATTTTGCAGATTTTGTGGGGTTTTCAGAAGTTTTTGGGGGATTTAAGGAGATTCGAATGAGATTTGGGGAAATTTGGGGGAATTTTGAGATGATTTTGGGAAAATCTTGAAAGAATTTGGGGCATTTTGGGAAGATTTTGGGGGAATTTGGGGATTCTTGAGAGGATTTTGTGGGATTTGGGGCATTTGGAGAAGATTTGGGGAAGATTTTGGGATTTGGGGGGATTTTTGAGGATTTTTTGAGGATTTTGTTGAATTTGGAGAAGATTTTGGGGGGATTTGGGGTGAATTTAGGGCAGATTTTTCTGGGATTCCATGGGAACCCCCAAATTTGGGGATTTTGGGGGATTTTGGGGTCTCTCCAGGTAACGCTGCTGGATTTTGGAGCCACCCGGGAATTTGAGCGGGAATTCACTGATCACTACATCGAGGTGGGAACGGAAGAAACGGGGGAAAATGGGGAAAAAACGGGAAAAAAAAGGGAACAAACGGGAAAAAAATGGGAATAAAATGGGAAAAATGGGGAATTTTTTGGGGTACTCTGGGGGATTTTGAGATTTTGTGAGATTTTGTGGGATTTTTCTGGAATTTCGTGGGATTTTGAGAACACCCGGGGTGATTTTTGTGCGGATTTTGATGAAAAAAATGGGAAAAAGGGGGAAAAACCACAGGAATTTGGTTAAAAAAAGGAAGAATTTGGAAAGTGAGGCCAGAATTTGGGAGGAAAACAGAATTTTTGGGATTTCAGGTGATCCGGGCCGCAGCTGAGAGGGACGAGGAGAAAATCCTGAGGAAATCCCGGGATCTGAAATTCCTGACGGGATTCGAGTCCCAGGTAAAAAGCCCCGAATTAGGGGCTTTTCCCCTCCCAGATTTTGGGATTTTCTTCGTTTCCCCCCACCATTTCAGGGTTCCCGATTTGGGGGACCCCCTGACCCCCATTTATTCCCCCCCAGGCTCTGCAGTCCCTGCACGTCCAGGCTGTGCTGCTCCTGGGGGAGCCCTTTGGGGGTCCCCAGCCCTGGGATTTCGGGGCTCTGGGGGGGCAGCGAACGGCTCGGGGGGTGCGGGGACTGCTCCCCCAAATCCTGCGGGACCGCCTGGGTCCCCCCCCCGAGCCCAGCTACGCCCTGCACCGCAAATTGGGGGGGGTCTTCCTGGCCTGCGCCCGCCTCGGGGGGCGCGTGCACTGCCGGGACATCTTCCAGGAGGTCTACGAGAGCTACTGGGGCCCCCAAAACCCCCTGGGGGACCCCAAAATACCGGGGGGAGCCCCCGGAGCGGGGCGGGGGGACAGGGAGCCCCCCCGGTGAGGGTGGGTGGAGACCCCTCCCCAATAAAGGGGGATTTGACCCCAAAATCGGGGCTGGGTTCTTTGATTTTGGGGTTCCTGGGATTTGGGAGGTTTTGGAATTTTGGGGCCGATCCGGGGCTCGGGGTTGTTTGTGGGCGGGGTCAGCGCGCGGGGTTCTGGCTCATCTGCATATTCGTATAGTCTCCGTCCAATGGCTGCGGGGCCCTGGTGGGCGGGGCTCGCATTATATTTGCATATTCATACGGCCGCCAGCCAATAGTGGCTGTGTTGGGCGGGGGGGGTTTTGTTAAATTTGCGTATTCATGAGGCATCCAGCAGAAGCTTCCTGGGCTGGGGTTGTTTATTTGCATATTCATGAGGGGGTGGGGCCTCGGCGCACGGCTGGGGTCTGCGGACCCCGCTCTGCCCCAAAAATGTCCCCAAAAACCCCAAAGACCCTCCCAGTGCCCCAAACAACCCCATTGCCCCCAAAGCCCTCCCAGTGTCCCCCAAATGTCGCGAATGTCCCCCTAAATGTCCCCCGTGTCCCCCAGACCTCTGCCGGGGAGGGACTGGGGTCAGGGATTGTGGTTTGGGGTCAGGATTTGGGGACCCCCCCCGATTTTCTCCTCTGATCTCTCCCAGTCCCTTTAAGCAGCGGCTGCGTTGAGCTCTGGAATTCTCCGGAATTCCATAAAAAAGAATTCCACAAAAACCGAAAATGGATCAGAACGGCACCAGCGGGGGAGGGGCCAGGGGATCCCGGTCCAGATGTGCCCAACCCCAGCCCATGTTTTTTCCCCAAATTCCCACTTTATTCCACTTTCCCCCCATTATTTCACAATTTTCCCATGTTTTCCCCCATTTTTTTCCCTATTTTTCCATATTTTCCTATTTTTCCTATTTTCCCCTATTTTTTCCCGTTTTCTCTCAGTTTTTCCTCATTTCCCTCTATTTTCCCCTCATTTTTCCCCCTTTTCCCCATTTTGTGGTTTCCCATTTTCACCCCAGTTTTTTCCCAAATTCCTCAGGGTTTTCCCCCATTTTTTCCCAAACTCCCATTTTTCCCCCATTTTATCCCGAATTCCCCCATTTTTTCTCAAATTCCCAGGTTTTCCCCCATTTATTTCCAAATTCCTCAGGTTCTCTCCCACTTTTCCCAATTTCCCCGGTTTTTCCCTCGTTTTTTCCCCAAGTTCCCCCATTTCTTCCCAAATTCCCCCATTTTCCCCCCCTTTATTTCCCAAATTCCCCGGGTTTCCCCCCATTTTTTCCCAAATTCCCCCATTTTTGCTCCATTTTTCCCCATTTCCCGCCCACTTTTTCCTGAATTCCCCGATTTTCCTCGAATTACCCCCGATTTTTCCCGAATTCCCGGTTTTTTTCCCGTTTTTCCCGGGCCGGGCGGGGCCGCCCCCCCATTCCCAGCACCGCCGTTGCCATGGAAACCGCGGC